GATAAGTGTTCTGCACTGAAAATAAACAGACCTGAAAAAGTCATACCTTATACTCTCATTGTCTCTCGGCCCAATCTGAAGATGTGAATGTAAACACAGAGACAGACAGACATTGAAACCCAGTTGGCAATAAATATGTGTCTCTCTACACTTCCAAGCTGGGAGTCATCAAAGATTAGTGAAGAAATCATGACTATTTTCCTTAAGAGGCTGCAGCAGTAACAGGCTTCCAGAAAAAAATCCCTTTAAATGCAAGTGATAAGTGTGGACTGTGTGAAGGCTGACAGGCCCGATTACAGTTATCATGGTGAGAGGCCCATGGCAAACTCCCTCCTGAAAGGCAGTGACAGTTCCTGGAAGGGAACATGTTGGTGAATTATTACAGACACCAGGACATGTGGAGCTCAGGTTCATCTGAGAGAAAAAGAAAATACAGCTGCCAACATTTTGGTGTAAGGATGGAGCCAGGTGTTAGGAGAGGGGGGAGGGAGGTCAAGATGAAGCACAGGGTTGGGGTGGTGGGTTTTGTTTCTGTTTGGAGAGGTATCCAAAAGGACAACATTGAGTTGAGACACAGCTGGGTCCTTCTGATCCGCGAATCACACTACAGAAGCATCTGATCTGGGCACTCCATTCTCAACACAATATTCTCAGGGTTTTGGGGGTTTTTATTTTGGTTTTTTTTGGGGGGTCTCTGTAACATAAGTCTGGAAGGGGAATCATCGTGCATTTATTGCCTTGTAGCAATGACATAATGGCATAAGAAATGCACAACTGAGTTACACCAGTGACCAAACCAGGCCAGAACACAGTGAGGATCTCCCACATCCCTTTTATAGCCTCAAAATGCCAGTAACATCTCTAATTTCCTTTTCATGCCCTCAAAGTGGCTGGAGGATACCCAAAGAACCCTAACTTCCCTTAATGACTTGACTCAGATCTACCCCAAATTCATTCAATGATCACAAAATTCTGTCTCTCTCTCTCTGTCTCACTCTCTCTCTCAAACACACACACACACACACACACACACACACACACACACACACACACACACACACACACACACACACACACACAAACTCTACCCCTATTTCATTCTACCATACATTTCTTCCAAAACTTCAAAACATTAGGGGCAGGAGTTAATGTCTGTTAACAAACCATCCTTCTCCATCCCCTAACTCTCCGGCTCCTTCAAGTCTCCCTCCATTACTCCCTGGCCACTCTCTTCAGCACAGGATGTACCTTCTTCTCATGCCCCACAATACACTGAGCTAGAAGGAGAAGACATTTTTTAAAAAATTCTTCACTGCCACTTCCAAACCCTCCTCCTATCAAACTAACTCAAGAATCTCTCTTATGAAGTATACTCCCTCCAGATCTCCTTCTCCATATCATAGCAGCTGTTAACTATCGGCACCCAGGTCATTCTCCTTCCTTTCTCAAGGTGCTTAATACCTTCCTCAGTCTTCCTCTCTCCACCCCAATTCCTGCCCTCATAATTGAGGGCTTCAAATTACATGCTAATGCCCCTTTCAAATGCTGTTTCTTCCTAGTTTCATTAACCTCTTTAACTCCTATGATCTCTACCTTCACACTAACCTCAGTCAAACATGAATATGGTTTTACTCTTAACACTATTCATTAATCACAAGGCCTCCAACTCCACAATCCAAAAGTGTGAAATTTCTTTAGCTGACCATAACCTCCTGTCCTTCCACCTCTCTTTGTGCCTTCCCTCTGAAATCTACTCTCAATCCTTACCTGAATAAATCTGCCATGTCTTGCTTTCCCAGGCAGTCAAACCCCTCTTAATCCCTACAAAATCCCACCACTTTACTTAACTAGTTCAAATTTAGACTGTCTTCCACCCTTGAACTCTTGCCCCCTTTGTCCTTTCACTAGTCAGTCCTTCTTATATCCTAATCCTGAATTTCTACTATCAGCCTTCTCTGTTTCTGTTCTTAGGCTATAGAACACTACTAGAGAAAGTCATATAACTATGGTATCCACAGCAACTTGTAGTTGCTACAAATTTATGTAATCCCTCTCAGTAAGACCTTGTTTCATATTTAACTGAAAAAAAAATCAGGGTCACCCATCTTGAACTTTCTTTTCTTGATTTTACCTTTCAAATCACTTCAACATCATCCAGATATCCAGTCCTCATTCCTCTAGTCCTGCACCTCCACCTGTTTTCTGAGTATCTTCATCTGAAATTCTCATAGGAATCTCAAGTTCACTATGTCCAAAACAGACTCAATTATCTTTTCCTCTAATGTTGCCCTCCATCTGACTCCCCATCTATTCTTTTTCTATTCAGGGCAACAACACTCCAGTCACTTAAGATCTCAACCTACAAGTCATCCTCAACTCTTCACTCTCAGCCACACCCTATATTCAATCAGTTGCCAAGAATTGTTGATTCTACCTCCAAAACAACTCTCACCAATATCACCTTTTCTCCATTCACATGGAAACCTTCCCATCTCTACCTTGGATTATTTCAATAGTTCCCTAATTGGTCTCCTCTCCTCTAGTTTCACCCCTCTCTAATCCATCCCCTATACATCTTCAAAAGTGATAGACCTAAAGCATCTGTCTGATTACATCAGTCCCCTGCTCTAGATGTATTAATGGCTCCCTAGTAGTCCAACAATTAAATAAAAATTCTTCTGTTTGACTTTTAAAACTTTAATATTCTGGCTCTAGCCTATCTTTCCAGATGAATTAAACATTAACCCCAGCTGCCCACAAACTCTATGTACTAGCCAAACTGGTCTATTTGGTATTCCTTGGGCATGGCATTCTCTTTCCTGTGTCTGTACCTTGGCACAAGCTTGTTCCAATGCCTGGAATTCTCTCCTCTTCATCTCCACCTCTTGTATCCATAGCTCCCTTCAAGTTTCAGCTCAAGGCCTTTTCCAGTCTCCCCAGTTGTTAATGCCCCATCCCATCACCTTTTAAAAAAGTAAGAATCCTGTACTTAACTATTGGTGAATATATTGTATATATATCCTCAAAAGAACATAAGCTCCTTGAGGGCAGAGACTGTCTCAGTCTTTCATCCATATACTTAGAACCTATCTACATCTAGAGAAAAACTGATAAATAGAAGTATGTATAGAATAATTTTACACACACACACACAAACACACACACACACACTTGTGTCTAATGGTAACCATGGGGGGGTGGGAGGGGTGTGGAGAGAAAAAAGAGAAAAAAAGAAAGTTACATAACTTTGATATCTATTTAAAAAGAATAGTACATAATAGATTTGCAGTTTTACGTGCAATCATCTTTTTTTTCTATTCTACTGTGTTATGGAAATGCTTATTTTATTTCTCAAGTTCAGAATAAAATGAATTTTAAAAAACCTAGCATATAGCAGTCCTTAACAAATGCTTGTCAGTGGTCGAGCTTTTCTAGTAATAGATGATTATGCCTATTTTGCTTCAATTCTCCAGAATATTTTATGCACTGAAATTAATTTAAATAAACAGGTCCTGAGCAATTTTGGTTGGTTTTATTGGTAGACAATATTAATCTTTCCATACAACATTAAAAAAAAAGACATTATCCAAAGGGAAGGAAAAGGTGAAGTACTACAAGTATGCTATTTACTTCTCAAAAAGGTATATGGGTCAAATCTCATCAAAAAGATCACAGGAAAATTTGAGAGCTACATTGGGGTAAAGGGTTAACCCAACATCCACTTTTTTGTCAGTATTTGACAAAATGAACAGTAGAATAATAGGACATATAAAAGTCAGGGATGTTTTTGGACACCAAAACACTTGGGAATGGAGTGATTTTAGTCCTAGCTATGACCTTAATTAAATGCATGACAAATTACTTAACTTTTCTTGGTCTCAGTTTCCCCATCTATAAAACAAGAATAATAACCTTTGGCTTACCAATCTAATAGTAGTGTCTGAAGAGGTGGCTGGGATAATTTAAGTGCAAGTGCATAAGGAAGGTAATAAGTGTTCCATGGTGTATGATAAGATATGAAAGTATTATAATTTGTTCATCCCCTTGAAATTGCATGAGATTTGACATATTTCTCAAAGCAAGAGGAAAAAAGCACTTTGTGTGTGGGGGAAGGGAGGGGATGGTGGAGATGGTGGTGGCAGATGTCAGTTGATACCTACTGAGTTTTGGTGAAAAATGTACTTAAAAAAGCAACAATTATGCTCCAAAAATTATTTCATGTAAGAATGAAGAATTCCATGTGTGAACATGTGCTAGTCTGTGTATGAACATACAGATGTTCATATGATGAACATATGATATATGTATATGTGTGTGTCTGCTTCAAGTGTAGATGTCTATGTGAGGCCATGTGCACAATTCCCTTAATAAAAAAGGGGAAGGAAATATATTTTTACATTTTTACCTGTACAAAAGGAAGCTCACATAGAATATTTGCTTACTTCTTCCCCTTCTCTCAGTTTGCCCAAGGCATCCTTTCCAACAGCCGCCTGGCCAGAGATAATAGGTGGCCCATTTCCCTAACTAGAATCAGCAGCAAATCAACCATCTGCCACTGCAGGGGTCTGAGATTAACCCAGCCACTGGACCATGACTGCAAGGCATTTGCACATTTAGATTACAGAAATTTTAGTCTACCATTCAAAGAGAAGGGGGCAGGAAAAAAAAAAAAGGAAGGAAAGGCCCCCAGGCTCTTCTGGGTTAAGCCTTCACAGAGCTTGGTCACCACCTGACAGCCCCACAGACCCAGTTTTTCCCATTACATACTGTTAAGAGGGAGAGTGAAAAGAGTGTGTATTGTTAATGATCAAAGAAAGAAAGTAAAAGACACACACACATACACAGAAGCACACCAGGGACTACCATCTAATGGTTAGCCTCCTGGGTCAACAAACAGAATTTAGACTGGAGCTTCTGCTTCCAAATCCACACTGAGGACATAGCCAAATTGTCTGACATTCTCTTTTCCCAAAACACACAACAAAGTCAATGGAACTTACCTGTGGCTGAAATCCTTTGAGGTCACTGGCTGTGAGGTCACTGACTGCAAGAAGCTGTGGAAAGACAAAATAATTCTATTTAAGCAATATGCTAAAACTTTTGTGCATATTCTCTTCAAGACATCTGATCCTCACACCCTTCTCATGATATTGTAGGCTTGAAGGCAGAGGGCTGAACCACCCAAGACACATGTTGACTTAAGCCATGCTCCATGTCCCTAAAATTTATTGAAGGGGTGAGACTTATAGCTGGAGGCGACCTTCCAGGTTACTGAGACCTCATTTGACAGAGAAGGAAACTAAGGCCCAGAGAAGGGTCAGTGACTTTCCCAAAGTCACAAAGTAATTAGGGACAGAGAGAATTTGGATTCAGTTCCTCTGAGCCAAAATGTAGGGTTATTTCCAGTGGACCATAATAGCTACCCTAATCAATCACATCACCTCCCTATGTTGTCTTTTCTCTGAATGTCTCTGTCTCAATCCTACTCATTCTTCAAAGCTGAGTTCAAATAGTAACCCTCTCTCCAAGAAGTTTCCCCTACCACCCCAAGCCCCAGTGATCTCTCTTTCCTCTGAATTTTAATATTATGTATTATTTGTACTATTCATTTCACACTTATCACATAATGACAGCAATAATGGAGCATTTTAAGGTTTGAAAAGTACATTATAAATATTATCTCATCTTTTCCTCATAGCAATGCTAGGAGGTAGGTGCTAGTATTATCCACATTTTATAAATGAGGAAACTGAAGGAGACAGAGGTAAAGTGATTTGCCCAGGTTCACACAACAGATAAATATGAGGTCACATTGGAACTCAGGTTGTCCTGACTCTTAAGTCCGACAGTCTACCCACTGGGCCACTTATACTGCCTTCTATTACTTCTTGCTGTCACATAGTCTTGTTGAAAGAAATTTCATGCCCCTCTAAGGTAGAATGTAAATCCCTAGAGACTTACACTCAATTATATAGACAGACAGATAGACAGACAGATAGACAGACAGATGGAAGGAAGGAAGGATTGTCATATACCTACTATGTTGCAGACACTGTGCTAAGTGCTTTATAAATATCATTTCATAGATAGACATAGAAAAAAACAGAAAGAGAAATATGTCTTTGCATATCTCATAATAATTTGTACACAGTAGGCAATGTATTATTTAACTGGATGATTTATTGATTTGTAGATAAAATACCTGCAGTGTATGGCTTTTAAAATTAAAAAAAAAAGCAAAAAACAAAAACAAAAACATGATGGGGTGGGGGGAAGGGACAGATGTTTATTTTGATTCCAGGAGTTGTGATGGTTAGTTTTGTTAAGCCTAGAGAGAATCTGTGAAAAATAGGAAAGATTTCATGTTTGCTGTAACAATATTTTGTTTGGTTCAAGAAAGAGAGGGATTCATGCTGGGCATTAGTGCCTACAACCATTTCAAAAGCTCAACTGGGCTTTGCAGCTTCCCCAAAAGAAGACATCGGCAATGAGGCTTAAATGATGTTAAAGCTGAGAAAGAACTTCAAGCAGAAGTAGACAAAGGAGGGGAAGAGGAAGGAAAGAGAATGAACATTTATGTAGTGCCTACTATCTGCTAGGCACTGTGCTAAGTGTTCTATAAATATTATCTCCTTGTAGAATTTTATAAATGTAAAGCCACCCCCCACCCAGCAATGTGTCCCAGAGTTTAGAGCTAAAGGTAAGACGACTTGTTGGAAAAGGAAGAGAGAGAGAGAGAGA